GGCCCCAGGAGCACTGTTGGAATATTCATTCCCGATTATGTAAGTCTCTTCTAAGACAGCAGATAAAAGCGAACAAGATTGACAATGTGAATAGAGGCTGATCCTGATGAATCAAAAGAAAAATGGCATTAAGAACAAGAACCTCAAAAAATTGCTAAAAGCAGTAAAGTTGGTTTAAAAGCCATCATTTACTTATCTTTAAATACAGCACCTAATGTAGAATTAATCTGATTTTTTCTGACATTAGACCAAGAAAGTCTGGTTCCAGATAATTATCTGCATTTTTAAATGCTACTGACTCTCTCCCTATCCCCTTTGAAATGCATTCAAATGTTTTTCCTGAAGGGGAAAAAAACATAATTATGTAACTTCTGCTAATGAAGTGTGCTTGGGGGTTTTGGGTTGGTTTTGGGTTTTCTGAATCTTCTGAATCCATCTTCCAGGGTAATAAAGACTGATTTGTCTTGCTGGAAATCCATTGCAAATGGCATCTTTTCAGGAGAAAACTTCTTTATTCTTGTACAGACTTGAATCCGCAGTTTAAATACTGCACAAAAAATAAACACGTGCTACAGAACTGATCCAGATCATTCCCCCCATTGATCTAAAATTGACAGATCATTTAATAGTCTGCCTAAACGTTCCTGTGTGACAGTTTTTTACAAGCAGAAATTGAAGATGCCTGGCTTATGGTTTTTTTATATATATTAAGCAGTTAACAACATGTTATTTCAGACACTGGATTGGACTTGAACCAAGGCCTTAAACCAGAAACTTTTGATGCATTTCCAGACAACTTCAGCCTAACTTTTTTTTTTTTTTTTTAACTTTTCGACCTTACCAATGTAATCTATAGTAAGAATATTGGGCATGAAGCTGAATTATGAACCCGTTGGCACCATCTTCACTGAGTAAGTTCAAATGTGAATGACAAGACTATGAAAAATAAGAAGTTTTATCAGAGTTTGTTCTTGTCTAACTGACCCTTTCCAAGACTGACTCAGAATTATTTGCTTTAGAGTCTAAGAACCCCCCATTTTTTTTGTCTGGTTAATACTTACCTTGCAAAAGAAATATTTATATGTGCTGATTTTAATGAAGAAACTGGTGCATCAGCCATTCTGCTCCTCCACCCAAGTAAAGTATTAAGAAGCATCTCTAAAAACTTTGTATTGCTTTCTTCTGGAAAAAGCATACTGAGGTTTTTTTTGCTCTGATGAAAAAGTTTTATTTATAAATGTAGAAAACCCACATATTTTGGTGCATCTTTCTGATGAAGAAGTGAATTTGGCTGCTGTATGTTTAATGAAGCACTGAAGAATGAACATGCATTACCTACAATGTTCTGGCCAAGTAAGAAGTAAAACTTGCTGTCCCTTTGAAAAGTAGAAACATGAAGCTTTGCAATCTGCAAGCACAATTGACTCTGCATGGCTAACAATAACAAGTAAATCTGGCATAATCCCATGGATGTGATAGATACTGTATTGTAGACATACAATGGACATACATAGAAATGGTAATCAGATACAAAATGTACATTTAATTTAACAAGTAAAAAACTGTTTATTTACCCAGGAAGCAACTGGGAGTAGGTATATGTTTCAATATTAAATGTATTTCTCTGTGAAATACATTATGGAATACATTACAAAATCCATTACTATTTCCATTCTCTGAATTAGTAGTGCTATAATTTTTATAAAGAACTAGAAGTAATTCTGTAATTGTCAGACTTACACTTTGCAAAAATTTAGTGGAAGTGAACAGTGTAAGTGGTAAATAAAGACTCTTCCTGAGATGGGCTAGATATCATTGCCACAAGTAGAATTCATATTATTCTTCCCTTTATTTTAAAAACAAGTGAAAAGCAGGTATTTGTTTTATCTAAGTGACCTGAAACATTCCTCTGAATCTAATGCATTTTCATCTGAGTGTCCTTTCCCCACAGATTTAATTTTCCAGTTTATAACACTTAACAGTTTCACTTACAGATGTGCCATGTTCAGAATACCATGATATCAGGATAGCTTTATTTTTGCTCTTTTCTTTTACAGTTTCCATTATCCAAAAATAATGAAGCTTCTCATTTGATTTTTCCAGAGGAGGGAAGGATCCTGAAACACAAAGTCCTTTTTCAAATCAGCATAACAACGTAGATGTTGTTATGCTTAGGAGGCAGGATGGTGGCCTTGATAAATTCAGGATGAAACCTGCAATAGTCTTTAGAAAAATACAATTGTAACAGTGAGGGAGTCAAATATTCAGTGTGTTTCTTGGTGTTACATTTTGTGGTGTTACCTGCTAGACAAGTGCCTGACTGGCTTTGAAGCAGGTGAAAGTAAAGTTTGCATGTGAGAGATCAAGTTATAATTTAGTTTCTTAGTGATTGAAGGACATAAACTGTAAAACCAGTAACAGTCACAGAGGCCTTAATGAACCTCTGTGGGAGCTTGACCCACCACTGCTATGCCCCAGCATTCTGTGGCCTGTGGAGTAGTGCAGAGGAAGGCAGGCACACCGGGGATGTTGTATTTCTGTGGCAAATGCAGGGATTTGTGCTGAAGCAACTTTGAGGCTTTCAGACAGCTTCCTAGGGATCTGTTGTGGTTGTGGTCTCTTGTGTGTTAAGAGCCCTTGGAGTTGTTCACTCATACTCCATGAACAGCATATAAATGCCTTTGCTTGATAGTCTAGGGTTTTAGTTCAGTTATATGACAATAAATTTCTTAGACTTATTTCTCCCTAGATGGTATGTGGTATAATTTTCTTTATACTGCTTCTCTGTAGAGGGTGTGTGTCTGTCACAGCCCCATTCTGGGGAACCTGGCTCCTTTAATTCTGTCATTCACTCTCACATTAAGTTGCTTGAATCCTTGGCTGCTGCAGAAAATAGACCCTCTTACACAACCCTAGAAATTGCAATAATAAATTACTAAGAAGTCTTCATTTTTAAGGTTTTATCAATATATATCTCATGTATTAAGGTTGCACATCGTGGCCAGGCCATTGCTTTGCTGCCAGAATCAAACACTTTGAAGAGAGCTGTGGGTTCAGCAGCACGGATTTGAAGCTGTGGAATGTGATTCTGTTTCAGTCCAGCAGTGAAACTGATCTAGCTTGAGCATGCACGCTGGTGGCATGGGAGATTTGGGATTTGCATAACTTCATTTGAAAGAAAACAATGCAAATGGGCAGGGTGGTAGTATACTGCAGCATGTCACAGAAACAGGGGGAAAAGTCTCTGAAAATCCCTTAGAATCAGATTTCATAATGGTTACCGTGGTATTTTTATGCAGCAATTGCTGACACATCTACCTATGAGAGTGATTTCACTGACAGTATGAAATCACACATTTGTGCAGGTTGAGGGTTTCACGAGGTTTGTACTGGTACTCATTTTGAAGTATGAAGTCTGGTGGGGTTTTACTGTAGTATGTGCATTCTCAGAAAAGAGCGTATATTTATGCAGTGTGGTTTTTCTGTAGTTTCTCATTTAGTACTGCTATTTTCTCTTAGCGTGAAGTAATCTATATTTTTGCATCTGCTCAGATGCTGAGTTGGATGAAATTCTGGAACAGGAATCATTCATTGCATTTGCACTGATAATAAGGTAAAGGACATTTTGGGATACCCTGAGCGAAGGCGTGCTGTGGCAGCAGTACAGAATGGCTAGGCTGCACTTTCACTGCCAAAGGGGTGTCATTTAAGTAGGAAAGGAGCAACTCTCTGAAGGTTTATCCTAAAAGTAAACCTTCTTTGCCAAGTAGGGCTGTGCAGTGGGAGATATAGGTATAGCCTGCTGAGCCCTTACCTTGGCAGGGTCCTGATCTGCAAGTTCAGGGTCTTTGCATAGTTACCTGTCTGAGGTGTAATGCTTCCCTTGGGTAGCTCTGTGGCTTCTGCAGAGGTCTTCACAGCACAGTTGTAGCACTGAGCAGTTATTTGAAACTAAAGGATCACACAGCACTGCAGTGAGCACAACTCCATGGAGGTTTTGTATATGATAGGAACTACTCTGAGCGTCACCTCTCAGCCCTTTTCCAGTGCAGCACACAGCAGTGTGTGGTGACTGCATCGTGGAGCAGTCCCTGGAGCTGAAACCAGCCAGAGTCGACTTCATGTCCTGTATTAACACTGTGAGGGACACATGAGGCTCCACATTCCTCCTCTCCCCATTTCAAGGTTGGTGTCTCCATTCTTCGCATACATTGTACCCAAAGAATACTGGTATTTTGTACATTTAAAGGTCATTAATCAGGTTATGAACCTAAGAAGATTTATTGTTGTTCAATTCAGTGTTGCAGTCTCTGCTGATGTTGACAGCAGACCGGATCAGACAAGTCATACAAGGACAAGTTCAAAGCCACCCAAAAGTAAGTGATGCTTATATTCCTTCAGAGTTCTACATCTATTGCAGTTTATTGTGACACAACCTGCCTTCATAGCCCGCCTAGAATATAGCGTGGTGATAAACCAGCATGGCACGGGAAACAGCAGTTTGCCTGTTAGTACGGTCAGGTGAAACATGCTTTAGAGACCAACTTTCTCTCTTACCTTTTCCTCCTGCACAACATCCTGAGCACACCTACACTTTTCCATCACTGCACACCTGCACAAGCAAGAGGTCTCGGAGGTGCCTTCGAGCAAGGCAGTGGGGCAGGAGCCGGGGGCCCGGAACCCTTCCCGGCTGTTCCTTCTCCTTCACCGAGGGTACTACTACGTGCTGACTGCGTTGTTAAGTAACAGGATTTTTCCACAGAGCCCCGCCATCCCGTTATCTCCATCCGCGAACCGTGTCCCGGAGGTTCCGTGGCCACGGCGCGAGTGCCGGGCCCGTGCGGCTGCAGCGGAGTGCTTGGGGCGGCTAGTCCAGAGAGTACGGTAGGGCGCGCCCCGCCCCTGCTGCCGGGCGCCGGGCCGGGGCTCGGCGGCCACGTCCCCGCACCGGGCCGCGCCGCGTCCGTGCCGTTCCGTGCGGCGGGCGATGTGGTCGGCGGGCGGGCAGAGCGGCGGGCGGGCGGCCTGACCTCCCGCCATGCGGCTGTCGTGCAAGGTGGCGGCGGCGCTGCTGTGCCTCGGCAGCCTGCTGCTGCTCTATCTGCTGGCGGGCAGCGCCGCCGCGCCCCCCCGCCCGCCGCCCGCGCCCTCCGCGCCCGCCCGCCCCGCCGTGCCGCCCGCCCGCCGGCAGCCGCGGCTCAGCCGGAGCCCGCCGCGGAGGAGCCCCGCCGGGGTCAGGCTCGTCAGCGCCAGGTAACGGTACCGGCTCCGGGACGCGGGAGCTAGCCTGGACCACGCGGGACCGGCCGGCGCCCCCCGCGCAGCCACCCCTGTCCCTGCCATCGGCGGGGAGCCCTCCAGGCGCGGCCCGCTCCGGCCGCTGGAGCGCGGGCGCTGTCCGGTTTGCGCGGCCTCACGCGTGCCCGGGCCCTCCCGCCCCGCGGGTCCCCTCTGCTATAGCTGGTGTCTCTCGGCCTCCCGGTCCTTGGGGCACGCCCCTGTCCCTGGTCGGTTTCCCTTCGCCTCTGCGAGTGACCAGCGATTAGAAACTCGTTTGCAAACTGCTCCGGCTGCCGAGGCACAAACTTTTCCCTGCCAGTTTGCACTCGGAGCGTGGTTGCCAGAGATGCCACGAAAGTACGTGGAGGTCTTGCCTCCGCCTCTGGTCCCTGCATCGAGCGGGGCGATACCCCCGCTGTGTGCCTGTGCGACGGCGGCCTCTGGAATAGCCGCTTTTTCATGAGTTTTGGCCTTGTTTTGAAGGCTGACGTGGGGAATGCGGCACTCGCTGGCTGGAGCCCGTGAGGAGCCGCTGTCAGTCTCGGGAGCTACACTTAATACTAATGTGTCGCTAACGCCCCCGGGAGAAGGGAAGGTGGCTATTTATGTGCGGTACCGCTGGGTTCCAAACTGCCAGGCATCTGCGGATTTTAAGCTCTTGAGCTTTTTATTTTGAATACTTTTAATATGTAAATTAATTTAGCGGAACTTTAAAAGCGAGCTTGAAATCGTGGTGTGTTGTGTTTCCTCTTTCAGCACCTTACAGGCAGAGTATTTGTTAAAAAACTAATTACTTCAGCAAAAGATGTGGGCAGCGTGCTCTCGGTGGGTGGAGGACTGTTTTCCCCTTTGCATTCCAACTATATTATGGTCAGTGTGACCTCATATATCTAATTAACTTGGTATGTCTTTGTGTCTTTGATTCACAATTTCACAGATATGTTCTGAATGAAAGCCTGTTCCTGTTTTTTTGAGCTCTTATTCCTTAACTTATTAAAGCAGTTGGTTTCTTACCAGCATTGTTACCCTGCTGAATGCAAGAGATGTTTACCATGGCTGAGAATGGGTCATGGGCAGAATTCAAATGTGTGTATTAAAGCAGGATTATTTCTACTAGCAACTGTACCTCCTGAAGTCATTTTTCTTTAAGGCATATCTCTGTGATTATCATGGAAATCAAGAACATTGAAGGAAGGAGCTCAGAACTTATGAAACTGCTGGAGAGTATAAACAACTGTTCCATTTCAATGAGCTTTTCAGTGAGCATCTTCACATTCCGAAGTTTGACATTATCTAACTTTTCTATTATTCATTGACTTTGAAAGTACTTCTTACAAGGTGCGCATCACAACACAAAAAAATACTCAAACCCTGCCACTTCTTCATTTTTTTTGTTTGCTTATGGATTTTTTCAGTAGGTTTTGCTGGTTGTTTTCCCCTCACATCTGCTGGCAGCACATGATCCTGAACCACTGGCAGCATCAGGAGCTTGTGCAGATGAGAAGCACAATTCTGTGGGTCCAGTTCTGTCCCTTGCTGAAAGATTGCGCAGTGTGTTAGCTACTATGAAAATAAAATCCATTAAAATAGAATTTTTTTTTTTTTTTTGCTGGGGGAGTGTGTGAGATAATGTGGTCCAAGGCAAGGAGATGTTTGTGTTCTTGGAAAGGCAGAAATACCCACCACTGTGTGATGAATCACATCCAGACTCACATGGTGAAATCAGGTAGTGGGATCTGCTTGGATTAAAAAGCCTGATGCTGGGTACACCAAAGGCAGTGAGAGGGGCATCAATCTGGAGTGGAATAAACAGACAATGATTTAGGTAGTTACTGACTTGAGGGTTGAGTATTCTCCTGGATATTACAGGCTTTGCTCATGCATGTGCTTACAGTAAAGTACATCCAGTGTAACATACTGAATCAGGGTTGTTGTTGCCAATTCATTCCTATAGTATAAATAATTATTATTTGAGTTATTCCTTATGTGCAAAGGAAAGCATTTTCTATTTGCTGTGAGAGACATAATAGGATATGATTCCTTCAGAATAATAAAACATATGATTATGACTGCGTAAGACCTTGTGATCTGATCACATTTTAGGTTTTTCGACGTAGACTGCATGATGGACTCAAATAATCCTAGTGAAGTTTTGTCTACATAAATATAAAAAGTTGTTTTAATTCAGTTTTGTCAAGTTGATCTGTGTAGTTTCATCAGAAGGATGCAGCTTTGGGGCTGAACTCAGAAATAATCAAAGATGTTATTTAGGATGCATGTTTGCTGTATAAGAATCAGTCATGTTGCCAGCAAGGGGAATTGTGTTTTAACTGGGATTTTATAGTACTGCTTTCTTTAGTGTGCTTAGTGTTGTTATGTGTGATAATAACAGAAAATATTAAGTTTGTAAGAACTGCAGGTTCCTTTTACTGTAAGTAGTCGTATGTAATAAAAGCTGAACTCAGTCACACAGCATCAGCTGGCTGGTACCTGGCAAATGTTGGGAAATGCGTTCATATGTCCTGCTTTGGTTACTAGATAATTTTGGCAAAGCTAGATGAGCATTGCATTTAAGTCTCTGGTTAGCTCTGAAAACTGACTTTTGATGCTGGCTTTATTGATCCTTCTTCTTGAAAGTACTAAGTCCTCTGCCTTCAGTAAGGGGTTTTTTATATGAATAATTGTAACTATGTGCCAAACCAATGTGTGCGAAGTACCAAAAAGCAAAAGGGTTATTTTACATTTGAAGGGCAGATGTGACCACACTTTCTATTAAACCAGCATGGAAGTGAACCTTTGCCAGCACATTTAGTTCTCTTGAAATAACTCTTCCAAAGCAAAACAGTTCTTACATGGTAACCTGGCAAGATACTTTCTCTTTCTTTGCAGTCGGTGTGCACACATACAGGTTTGGCTCAACTTTGATAGCCTATAATGACATGCTGAAGGCCCAGATACCTCAGACTTGTCTAACAAAGAGCCCACTTGATAAAAGAAGATAGAAACATCCATTTTGATACTGAGTGGGTTTCTTCCCTCTTCCCTTTCTCTGAGCAGTAGAAGGACGTTGAAACTTTAACAGTTTTTTGATTGTCAGCAGCTACAGTCAGTTTTGTGCAACTGCATTAAATTGGGAAAACTATTTAAAAACATTTAGAGCCTTTCTAATTTATGTTTTAAAGTCAGTGAGAGAATGTGTTTCATATAATGGAGCCACTGTTGGGACATTGACTCACTGGGGCAGTGTTGACTGTCAGGGAAGGAGCCTATTTAGTGAATCACCAGTTTTGATACAATGCCTAAATCTAACCTTGTTTATGCCGCAAGTGTAAATGAGATCATAATATGAAGAAGTTTTCAAAAACTAACAACTCTACTGCATTTTGTAAGAATCTGCATGATCTTTCAGGAATGAATTTGGAGGCTTGACTAGATTAACAGGGTCTGTAGCGAGATGGGAATGCATTATTTTGAATGGATCTGGATTGATTTAGACAGGTTTTGGGTTCATTATGTTTGAGACACTTTGTCTGTGACTAATAAGAAAATTGCATGTAATCTAAACTTTTAAGGCCTAGAAATGCTCTGTTGTGCTGGAGCACTCAGGCCCCTGCTGTCTCAGTAACCATGCCTGTCAGAAAAAAATGTATACAGTAAATAAAATACTGTTGGGCAACTGGATGGGAGTTGGTCTGGCTTGTTGGAAAGAAGCCTTTGGTATAAGCATTTTATTGTGCTATGTCTTAGCAAGCCTGTCTTCAGCTGTTTCAGATGGATGTATTCTGCAAGTATTTGGTGTTGTTTTCTGTAGTGCTTAATCTTAGGCGACAGTGCTTAATTTTAAAGCCATATAATAGTATGAGAACAGCACATAAGGGAGAGCACGAAGCATTTTTCTCTGAACAGCGCAAAGAGTTAGGCATGTTACATAAGTTAGATTTCTAATACACCAGCAAGCTACATTTATGTACTGAAATTAGAAGAAGGGTATCAAGGCCTATAACAAAGACCTTGTATATTTAGTTTCTTTATTTGTTCTTGTTAAACACATTAAACTTTAAGGCCCAGGTCACTGTATTGTTTTAAATGCATTTGAACATCTAATTTAGATTGTAAAATCTAATCATAGACTCCATCCGTAGCCAGTACGTTGGACTATAAATGAATGAATGTGTTTGTGAATGTTAGGAAGAATTAGCTAATAAGAATACCTGTAGCACTCTGTGGATCTACATGCTCTTTTAATGTGCTTGGAAGTCTCTTGAGGTAGGTTACCATTAGTACTGTAACAGCTGCTCCCCTTTTACGGGTAGGACAACTAAAGCAGAAAGAATTAATGACTCGCCCAAAGCTTTGCAAGCACTGACTTACTGAAATAGAGCTGAAACCAATGCTCACTCACCCTTCAACCACTCACTGAGTACTTCTCTGTGTCAAAAGCCCATCAATGTCTTAGTTTGAAAAGCCCATCAATGTCTTAGTTTGATACCTACCAATATATTATTTCTTGCTTGCCAGCTGTTTTTTATGTATCACATTTTATCCTTTGTACAATTTACCACAGTATTAACATACTGCATCCTTTAAAACAGTATGCATCTTTTGTGTTCCATTAGTTGTGTTGTCCAGGAACACCTGAGTAGGGAGTGTATCGCAAAGCTTTCTGCTTCCCAGTATGTTTGCATCAGCCACTGCTAACTGCATGGTAAATAAACATTTGCAATTAGAGGAGACATCCTCTGATTTCAGGGTGTTTAAAAGATGTGTAAATACAGCACTTAGGGATATGATTTAGTGGGGGACATAGTAGTGTTAGGTTTATAGTTGGACTTGACGGTCTTTTCCAACCTAAACGATTCTGTGGTTCTACGACTCAGGATTCAGTAAGTACCTTATATGAAACCTCAGCTTAAAGCAGCTTTCATTAAGCAGTAAGTCTGAAGGAGAAGGCTCCTGGTGCCCAGCCCAACTTACCCCGTTAGAAATGAAGTAGCTGCTCTGTTGATATGAGCCAATTTCTAACCTGCAGTTTCTCTCCTTACAACATGTGGTGGAGGCTCTCATACCTTCATGAGGGGATTCAGCTAAGCCAGCACAGCCATTTATTCTATATGAGGCAGAATAGATGCTGTTGGTCAGACTGGAACTGTTTTGGTTTGATGACATTGGCTGTATCCTGCAAACCTTTAAGGAATATCCTTTGACCCAGATTATATTTCTCACCATCCATTGTTCCTCCTTGCACTGTATGTACGTGTGTGTACAGAGGAGGGATGGGGAGTTGTGATGTTCTTTGCTATAACTGGCTCTTTTGCCTTCCTGGCAGTTTGACTTTGCCTTTACACCTGCTTCTTTCCAGATTTCTGGATAATAATAGTAATTTTATGAAGGCTAAGCTAAAATTGCTGTTAAATGCATCTTGCTGTGGCACTTTTGTATCTCCCTTTCCAGCTCATCTTTGTTTTCACACCCCTCTTGTTTTCCTTATGTACTTCTTAACTAACTGTTGCCCTCAGTGTGCCAGCCTACTACTAGGGCAGTTGAACTACAACCTCATGCTCCTTGGGCATTTTTATTCCTATTTAGGCCATTGCAGGCTCCTGAACCCCTTCAGTCCAGGCCTTCAAGATTCATAGTACTTCATCTCTGAGGCTCTGGTCTCTGGGGCTGAGAGGGTGTCTTTGTTGACAGGCAGGATGTCTCTTATTCATCTGCAGCTCCCATGGGCTTACGGGGCATTCTGCTTTCATCAAGAGTTGCTTCTGCTGGGTCTGTTTGTTGGAAGTGCTTGTCTACATATACTGGCTTTTTCACTAAGAAATAGCTGCATAATGTGGAGTTCACTGTGGCTAAAATTGCAAAGAAAAGCTCAGTGCTTTGGTGTTGGGTTTTGAAATGTGGCAATAAAAGCTTAGAGTTTAGTCCCTCTCCCAATGAATTCCATTGCCACAAGCTATATCAAAGCAGTTCTCATCTTGCATATGGCTTGATTTAGAGACTCAATTAAGAGGAAACATTAAACAGATAGGGAGAAGGGGGGAAAAGGGGATCTGTGTGAGCAGCTAATTATTCACTTCAATAATTCAATGGTTTTTACACTAATAGGTTGGAAAGTAAATACCACTTCACAGAGATGTAGTATTCAATTATTTATACACTGATGAAATTGGGGTTTAATTAAGACTAAAGCCTAAGTCTTCAAACCCTTAATGAAACTTGTTGCTGTGTATGGTCAGTAAGTACCACTGTCTGGTATTCCTTAACACAGAGGTGGGTTACACTGCTGTTACACAGAGCAGCATTTTAATGTCTGGAAGAAGATAGTGACAGCTTTATAACTGTCATTTTTCTCTTTATTTAGAACTTTTGTTTCGGATATTAACTTTGCTGATTAATTGCATGTATGTAATTGTTTGTGCTGAGTAGAGGCAGGGATTGATGTTCTCTGTTCAGTGATATGTCAAGAACTGGTAGTGATCTATGATTAGCCTTTTGAACTCTCCCATAATGATTACGATGCCTGTGATTTAGTTGCTTTGTCAGCACACATCCATGTAATGGAGTATAAATGCTATCCGTGTTGGAATGTGAATACAATACAGTGGAAACATTCCTGGAGGATGTGATTTATACCTCTCCATACTGCTGGGGACACACACAAAACCAAAAGGACATATTTTCACAATGTCTTCAACTCCCCAAAAGAACGCTGATTTTGCTGGCCAGCAAATGGACTCGGTGCCTTCTCCACACAGATTCCCCTATAGTTTAGCTGAGATTTAAAGCCCATAGAATCATAGAATCATAGAATAGTTAGGGTTGGAAAGGACTTTAAGATCATCAAGTTCCAATATAGATGGATGCTCAGTGAAAACCCGGTAGTTTGGTCCTTGACTGCTTGTGGAGTGTAGTCTGATTCATCTGGGACATGTGAATCTGTTTGTTTTTAAAAATTCCTATTTTAGCAAAATCTCAGGGATTCCATGGGGAGAAATGGAGAGTGGTCCTTTGGAAGTATGCCAGTACCTTCAGGCCAGGATTAAGGCATGCTTTTTTAATAGCAAAATTAATTAACTCTTAGAATAATTTACATATGGATGGAGTGGATTTTTTGAAAGTATGGGTGTCTTCTTCCAGCCTAGCCATTAGGGGCCTGCTAATGAAGTTACTGGATGTGGCTCTGCAATCTGCATTTTGTTACAAAGTTGGCTGGGTAGTAATCAGTCCATTCTGGCTTCATAACCTCTAAGCTGGGGGAAAAGAAAACAACTATCATTGGCACAGAGCGAGCTGTTGTCTGGTTTGAGATGCTGTTGAATTAGTTTCATCTGTGTGTGTAGCACAGTGATTTACACAAATCCAGAAATGCAGGGATAACTAGAAAATCTCTGAAAATAGTGTATTTCTTTGTGTTGTACTTTCAAAAGGCTTGATTTGTGCTGTTGACAAAAACTGGCATCTGGTTCGCATGTTCTGTGGGTATGTAATCAGGAACAAACTTCCTGATCCCTTACAGAATGAAGGGGAGTAAAAAACCTCCCTGATACCTGTTAATGCAGGATTCTCTTTATGTCTCTCTCAGTATTTTTTCTATGTCTATTTATGAATTTACAGGAAGCCTGGAGAACAGAAACATTCAAAAGAGCCTTCATCTTTGCAATGCATGCATCTGGCAGTTGTAGCATGTGGGGACCGGCTGGAAGAGACGCTGATCATGCTGAAATCAGCACTTCTCTTCAGCAACAGGAGGCTCTGTTTTCACATTTTTGCTGAGGATTCCCTTAAGCCTGAATTTGAGAAGAAGGTGAGTTTCTTTGTCATTTGGTAAATAAATGAGTCACAAATGTCTGAGGAAAATCAGTCTGACATCAACAAGTAGCAACTAAACACTTTCTGTGCTGTGCACAGTTTATAAACTCCTTACAGATGCATATATTTTGTTTTTAGAAAGCTATATAAATGTAGTGTTTAATTCCTCCCCCCATGTCTTTCAGCTGAAGGAATGGCCTTCCTCATACACAAAGAAGTTTGAATACAACATTTACCCAATAACCTTCTCAGTAGGAAACGCTCAGGAATGGAAAAAGTTATTCAAACCATGTGCTGCCCAGCGCCTTTTTCTTCCGGTAAGGCACCTGAATTCTGAGTGGGTTGCTTCAGGAAAAGGTTAATTCCACCAAAAGGAAGCTTTGCTAATGTAATATTAAAACCATTTTCAGTCTAAAACATCTGCTTAGAGATATTTTAGTCCTATGCTTTAGCCACTTAAAAGCAAAACAAAACAGGAATCGAGCCTCACTTTTTCTCCTGCTAACAAAGGATGTGTGTTTCTTATTTGTCTCTAGTTCCATTACACTCTCAGACTTTTAAGACTGAGTGCAAGAGCTCTTTCAGGGCAGATGCTTTCAGGGTAGATGCTGCATACCTTCCATAAATAACATTATTTTCAGTGTGCAGTCATCATATCCTCTTTACCCACTATCTCCCTTTCCATATGTTAGTCCTTAGACTGATGCTTTTGGCAATCCCTTTTCCTTGAGTTTTATTTCTTTTTCCAAGACTGTCAGATTTGCCCTTAAGGTACTAATTCCAACGTGTTCCAAGTCAGTTTTCATGCAAAAGCATTGTGTATCCTGGGATCTTCAGGCTCACTTGAAAGCTGTATTTTTTGCTGTATATAATGTGTCATAAACTTGGAAAACATATAATGTTGCTGGAGAGAAGGGAGGTGTTGATAACAATTTTGCATACACAGAATATCAGAATGGAAAGAACTTTTGCATAAAGTGATTTCTGTGGAATTGAGAACATCTGTCAAAAATATCTTGTGCATTGCTGTTGATTGGGGTGACTCCAGTAAGTGACAGGCTATTCACATGATCCAGATTTCATTGCTGCCTTACCAGAAATGGGGGAGGATGACAAAGAAATCTTTACTTTCTCAGATGGAAACAATCAGGAGACAGCTGCGGGTCCAGAGACGTAGGCTATGAATGCATATGTGAGAAAATATGTGCTGTCAGCAGTTCTGTTTATCTGCCATTTAGGGGTAGACTATCAAGCACACAGAGGCCAGATGGGCTGAAAGTAACTCCAGCTTCAGCAGGAATGCTGTCTACCCTGAGTAAATATTTACATCACCTGGAAAATAATCCCCAAGAGTTAGCTTGTTCAGTACAGCTTGTTTGTAGGGATGTACTCAAATGGGACACCTTTCACTGCGCAAACACAATTCTCTGTTCTTACTGCGGGGATAATTTTTGGCATTTTAGTAAATTCTCGTCACAGAAATAATTTCACTTTTATTTGCCACCACCCTTCTGATGACAGGAAAGGGTTATATATCCACTCTGATTCCTGTAGCCTGGACAGTGCTTTTTTGGTTCCTTTTTTGCCACTCACATGTTGCCAAAGTTCACCAGTAATGTTCTGTAAAGGAGTATTAGAGCATTACATATTGTCTTATCAAAGCTAGGAGGCAGCCTGAACTGTAAATGTTTGTTTTTCTTGGGGCAGTTGCAAAATGTTGTGTGTGCTCAGGCTGAGATTTACGGCTTCAAATGGGGGGTGTCCGAGAGTAGTCACAGCTGACACTTAAGTTGATGTGAATATAGTAAAGAAAACAAGTTGTAGCAATAGCTGTGGTGGAAAGAGTCCAGTTGGACTTTGGTATTGAAGTTCAGCAGAGTGACAGAACCTTGGGATGTTCCTGGGTAATTTCAGCCACAATTATTATTTACTTTGGTGCTTGGTAAGGAGGTTCTGATATCCCATTTGAACTACCCAATGCTGTAGAAATGCAGTCTGCACACAGTGGGAGCAGAGGGTTGCTGGTGCTATTGGTTACAGAACTATTTTGCCTTAGATTTTAAATAAATACCAGCAGGATGTCAGCATCCTTTTTTTTTTTTTTCTTAGTCTTCCCTGCAATAAGCATTTTCCCCTGCAGTGGCATAAAACGTGCCTGGATTTAGGGAGGATCCCAGGAGAGCAGTAGTTATCAGCTGTTTAGCTCTCAGTTGTGCAAATTGTCTTTCTCCTGATAATGCTAAGCCTGAGTGGAATGTGAGTCTTTGATTCAGAAGTGGCTGTCCTGCCAAAGCAGTCTTTCCTGCAGCACCAGCAGGCATGTGAAAGTGGACAGGAGGGTGTGAGGAATGTGTTAAGAGAGAATTGCTTAAGAATCTGTCAATGGTTTTACTCACTGACAAAACTAGAGCTCTGGGGTGTGATCCTGCAGCTTGTAGTAATGAACTGCTTTGTCCTGGAGAACAGGTTGATGTTGATGAAACCATTCTCAGTTTGTTGAATCTACTGGACTTGCTAAAGTATTAAGGTCATACAGCATCCTGCATTTTATAGAGGTGTTCTGTGACATCTGATCATGTTTGCCACTTACATGCAGAGGAAGCAGACTGAGCCTCCACATAAGCTCAGAAGTCTAAATCACTTGCAGCAGTCTGCTGCAATAGAACAATCAATGAGATTTGCCAAGACAGAATAAGGGAGACGTGGATCTTAACATGAGCACAAAAGGAAACTTCAAAAATTAACCAGGAGGGTAATGCTCTCAGCAATCACTTGAAACTGTTTTATATACTGATATGGATGTTAAGACACCAGGTGGAAAACTGTCTTCTGGTCTCACAAATGTCACACACCACAGAGCTGCCTTGCAGTTGTCTGTATTGCTGGTTTGGAGCTACCAAAACAATCAGCTAAAATGAAATGCTTAAGGGACTTTTGGATGATTTTAGCTCTCATGGTAGCTAATATTTAGAACCCTTCTCATAACGCTTAATCTACTTAGGAGCTTTTAAGGTAGATTAGCAATATCCCTGTATAACAAATGTCCTTCTGAGTACACTAAAGGATCCAACCCAGTGGATCAGTGGCAGCACTGGGAATTAGTGGCAGCGCTAGGTAAGATACCAGGATCTTATCTAGACAAAAGTTTCTGCATCTGACTTAATTTCTTAATACAATTAAGTTTAGTAACTCAACTTTGTGGTACTGCTCCATTAGCATCAAGATTTGTGATTTGTCCTTAATTCTGGATGAAGCTCTGATTAACTGCCATGCTGGCCATTGCAAACCGTTAGGTAGCACAGCTTCACAGTACACCACTATGTGTGTTATTACTTGCCAACCTTGCTAACACAGGGAAAATCTATGGAGACAGAAGTTGTGAAATCAAATTACACATAACTGAGTATTTAAGTGAAGTGTTAGGCTAAATATAGGCAGTTCTGTGCAGAGTTTTTTGACAGATAACTAAGAATATTTTATGTAGCTGCAAGAAAATCACACCTCTCTTAAGCTGTCCATGCTGGTAGCGTGAGGAGGAAGACAGGTCCAGTCAGGCCATGTTTCTGACCAGTCGTTTCAAAAATTGCAGTCTGTCAGGTATGTTTGCATGCTTTGAGCTAGCAAGTGTGAACCTGGGCTACCAGAGTCTTGCATGGCTTGTGCTCCAGGTCAGATGCATGTCATTTTTAAGCTGCAGTTATGTTGCTCTGGCTGGCTGTCCTGGCAGGCTTGGAGCACTCCTAGCCCTAGCTGTGCAGCATCTGGAGTAGGCAGAACAAGCTGGAGCTAAGTCTCTTGCACCATAGGGTTACCTTGTGGTACTCAACTGCTTTTGACATTGAAAAGCAACAGGGTCAAAATTCATTGTCTTCCTTGTATGCTTCTGAGTAAGTAAATGCTAAGTATTATTCTGAGGGCTGAGTAAAGCCTAACTTTTTTTTTTTTTTTTTTTTTAAACTTCTTCAATTTGGGAAGAAAAGCTGTGGGTCACTGGGAATGCTGGAGTTACTGAAATGAAGCGTATGCCCAGTGTAACTCCATTGAAATCCTGGGAGCTACGGAACTCTTAGAGCCACAGTTTCTGCAGTTAAATTCCCCTAAGCAAGGTGAAGTTAAATGCTCAGCCAGAAGGAGAGGGATCAATTCAAACTGACGCCACAGGTTTTAAATAAGTCTTAACACTTCACATGTGAAAAAGTGTGAAGGGCTTAAAGGAAGTAGCACAGATATTTTCATTAGCCTGTTGGGTGTCACTGCAGGGCAGCACCTTGAACAGGAGAGGGAAGAGTCTTCTGAAAGAGCATGTGAATACCGAGTGGAGGAATACAAGGTGCAAAACTTCAGGTCAGATGCTGCTGGACACCTGCTGCTCTAAGAGCTGGAATACCTGCTTGGACCTGTCTGTGCATAGGAAAATTATTACAGTCCACTGACTTCCACAGTCTTAAATGAATGTGTAGAATTAAGGTTGCTGAAAGAACAGTTTTCTGCTGGAAGAAGCAGTGTCCAGGCTTCCCCCTTAACCCTCTGCTGGAAAATACCCAAACTTGTCTCCCTACCAGGGTACCCTTAGAAGAAACCTTTCGTGGTGTACAGTGTGCCATGGATCCCTCAGGCAAAGCCGGTATTCCTGATGTGTTACCTTCTGACTTGGACTAAATGTTGGGGTGATTTTTTTTCTTAACGTATTTTAATTTTCTATGACTTCATATAGTAGGTCCCTATGAACAGGACTTGCGGATGCTGCAGAATAGTCCACTATATCTAGGATACCCTTAAGTTGAAAAACCCACTCTTCTTTTCAACCATCTGACTTCTATTGATTTACTCGTAAAGGAGGTGTCTTTTTTTGCTTGTTTTTTTTTTTAGTACTGGACTCCAGGATACAGAGCGTTTGCAAATGTTTACCTCTGAGCTCCTGGTGTGTTATTGAACTGTGTCACTCATTTATTTATACCTGCACACACCAGCTTGGGTGTTTTTTGTGGAAAAATGGTGTATTGCTATAACCTTCCATCCAGCAGAGGATGGGCATTGTGTTGGATTGTTTTCTTGGAGTTTCTTGTCAGTATAACTTGTGTTTAATACGTAGAGACACTTGCCTTCTCCTTGTTCTGATATGTAGGAAGAAGATGTAGTTACTATGTCAGGAAGACAGGTCAGGGATTTGTTAAACTTGGCTAAATGTCAGTCTGAATCCCAAAGTGTGCAGTCAGGTGAAAAATCCCCTTGAAGTCCTTACTCAGGGATTTAGCATCTAGTGGGTGCCTATTGAGCATGATTAAAGGTAATTTTTTCCCCCACACTTGTTCAAAGTCTTTGTTGCTCACTCTGTTGCACAGGTAATTGTCAGTCACAATGCACTTCAATTTATGTAAAATTCAATTGATTTAGTAGCATTTACTGTTACCTGCTTGAATAGAGTTTGTCATTAGTACCATTGCTTCATGAAGGAGTGACTGTCCTGGTCACTAAGTGATGAAAATCAATAGCCTTTTGGATTTGCTTTTTAAAGACAGAAAGAGAGAGAAATGGGGCTTTTGGCTGAGACCAATATGAGAAATTTTCAGTCCTTTGGGAATTTTTGAGTTTTAGCAAATAATGAAGAGCAACAACAATGCAGCTGGAACTGATGGTCAACTTTAGCTAATGATATTTATTACTTAACAGCCATCCTTACAAATAGCTGGTGCAAACATAGAGGGAGTTTTCTTGGACTGTTGAAGCACTGTATCAGTTGGCGTACTCCAGTTAACAAATGAGCATGTAAGGATATGGATAGCCACAAGGGGGAACATTGTAAGCAAGACTAGGTGAAATATCCTGCCTCTAAATGACAGTTTACACCCTTCTGACTTGACTAACTCCACTGCGGTTATTTCTGATAGTCTGATAACAGAAATCAGAATCTGACCTGTTGAGTTTTAACGTGACATTTCAGTTTACCAAGCAAATTTTGGTCTTCAGGAGGATGCATGTACATTTTGGTGATCAGTGGGGTTTCTTAATTAATGGGGAACATTCATATATATTAATACTGCATGTAAGTCTCCCAGGAGCACAGGTTTGTAATAGGAAAAACAGTCGCTAGAAAGGCATAAGGAAACATGATACCAAATAGAGATGGAAAGTATTCTGTTCCACCAGCTTACCCTTTCTGTCAGTGGAGCAAGCTGTATGTTTCACCACTTACGGATCTTGAAAAGAACTAAGAAAGCTATGTAAATAAATACCCCATGCATTTTATTTCTGAACTGAGACTAAATGGTCCTTGCAGGTACTTTCAAGAGCCCAGTGGATTACTGTTTCATATGAAGGTTAGAATCCAACATCTGTGGTCTGTTTGCTGTGCAGTTCAAAAAACCCCACTAAACAAACAGCAAGCCAATAACCTGATAACTGCTATCCCTGTGTGTAATTACCTTTAGCTGATAAATCAATATCCTCTCTCAAATTATCCTTTTAAAATAAAAGTACCTTCTGCCAATAATCTTCCTGTTTGTTGTCTGTTTTCTTTTTCATCTGTTCCTCTCCTTGCTGTGCAAACCCAAAAGGTCATTTTGAAGGATGTAGATTCTCTCCTTTATGTGGACACTGATGTCCTCTTCCTGAGGCCCATCGATGACATCTGGCACATCCTGACAGAGTTCAACTCCACACAGCTAGCTGCTATGGCCCCAGAGCATGAGATACCAAAGATTGGCTGGTACAGTCGCTTTGCACGTCACCCTTATTATGGGACAACTGGAGTCAATTCTGGAGTGATGCTAATGAATTTAACACGGATACGCAACACTCAGTTCAAGGTGAGAAGAAATACAGCTGTTTCAGGAACAAATGAGCTCTGTATATTTCACAGCTTGTAAAGCTTAGTATAAAATTACATAAAGTTTGCAATATAAGGAATCTGAAAAATAGAGAATATATATATGTAATTGGGAACTAAAATAAATCATAGGGAAAATGATTATTAAAACAAGTGAAGCTTCCTTAAGAGACCGGAGCACAGAGAACTGCAGATGCAGTCTGTTAGCAGTAGTGAGACTGGCTTCTTCAACATTCCGTTTTCCCTAGAAAGACCCGTGAAAGAATAAGCTCCATGTTCTCTAGTGCAGTCACTGTGGTGGTGTTGAAATTGGAAAGCCTGATGTAAATACCCAGAGAAAATGGTAATGTTTTGCATCTGCTGTAAACAGAATTTTGAATCTTGCTGCAGATCAAGTGACTCCATGAATTGATATAAATGAGAAGGGAGCATTTTCACTGACATCTGACGTGTCCCCTCTTTTGTGAAAGGCCTGACTTGTAGAATCCGTGTCTTTCATTGAGCACGTATTCTCTAGACCTTCTTTTAAACTTTATTTGCCCCAAGTGGTTTTGTTCCTCAGCCAAAGCCGGGGGTTTCCTGTATTGTTATAGGAACAGTTTGAGCCCTTGGTCTTGATACCATTATATCCAGGGAATATAATTTTTAGTCTGCATTTTCGTCACTCAGTTTTCACCTTGTACCTGCATTTTTGCATTTTTCTACTTTTTCGCCCTCCTGTTGCTCAGAATAGGAAGACTCTGAATAGCAGGAGCTGACATCAGAGCTAGACCCAGGAGACCTTGCTTTCCTGTTTAGATAAACAGGAGCACCATCAGCTCTGCTGTTTCAAACCTATCCAGGTCTAATATTTCCTGGCAGTTCTTCGTTTTTTACCTGGGGATCTGAAGGGGTTCAGCAGACTTATAATTGTGCCATAGTCTGATTTATACATCACATCATGTCCCTCTACTAACTTGTTGCTTCTGGTTTCTGCCCTGCAGAACAGCATGATACCAAGTGGTTTGACTTGGGAGGAAATGTTATATCCATTATACCAAAAGTACAAAAACTACATTACATGGGGAGACCAGGATTTACTAAATATAATTTTTTACTTTAACCCAGGTAAGTAACGACTCTTGGAGTCATCATTAGATTTGTTAAGAACATTGCTTGAGCTTGATATTTTTTTCTTAAATGCTGGTATTTATATGTATAATGTACTTGGGCATGAAGTTAATGACTGAGTGCACTAGGATTTACAGCCTGTGAAACTACTTCTGAATGTGGTGCTGGTAGTGGGGCTCAGACTTGGTTCCATTGAATATGTAAATCTGTTTTCTGGAGATTCTGAGAAAATAGGGAAGTGTAACAACATTAATGATCAGATGCAGCAATGAAGTTCAAGTTTCATGTGTGCTTAAAAAGCACCACTGGACCAGAGATTAGCTGGAGAAATATTTTTGTTTCAGATGTTTATCTGAATGTGAAATTTCCAAACATTCTCCAAAGCTGTGCTTTATTTTTCTGCAATACAGCTGAATTCTGATATTTATGCAATGAGTTACAAAGTAAATACAAATTGACACAGCCACTGGAATATGTCTTCTAAAACTGGTGCCCTCCCTACTCTTGCTCCTTCACTAACAGTTACTTCTTGAGAAAGATGCTTCCAGCCTCTCAGCTGAGTGACCCTGCCTCAGCAGGCACCAGGGTCATGTCATCTATATTCTGCTCCTTACATTTATGCATTTTCTACTCTTCTGTATTCTGCTTGCTCTGAGACTAAGAGCAGCTCTCTCCAGTCCTTGTTCTCAGAGAACAGATGGCATAACTCACCTATCCTAGTGTGGACCAGCATGACCAACACATACGTACTTGTCAGCTCAGCAAAAATGTGATCTTTGATTCCTGCCTGTCAGTCTTGCACAATGCCTCTGAAAACAGCACATAGCATTTCAGTTTGTCCCTTTTCCCTTGAATTGGGGTTGTATTCCCATGAGTGCATTCCCAGGGAACTGGCAAGTTTGGGCATCTGTGTTTTAAAAGGGTATGACTTTCCACAAGTGCTGAGACAGTTTCTGGGAATTCAGCCCCCTGTAAGTTGCACCGGTTACACAGAAGTGACTTCAAGCACTTCCAAACTCAGGAACATCTGAGAAATGCAAGGATTTCAAAACTACAACATAGTACATGCTTCCCAGAGAAGCTGAGGACCTTGTTTCATGCTTCTGAATGGATGCTGAGTATCCATTCTTACTTGCTTTTTCTTGTTTCCCATGTGACTCAGGTGATCTTAGGAACAGAATAAGTTTGAATTTATATTTATTTATTCTGTTCCCTTTTTCTCTAAGGAGTCACAGGCTGGGTAACTGGACATACTCAAATCCAGGCAAATAAAAGGAGAAAGCAAAAGCCAAGTGATAAGCTAACATCTGTTTGCTGCAGACAGATGTCAAGCGTCAGATGTACACCACGTATTACCCTCAATCCTAGGGAAAAAATAAAGTGGAAGAAATCTTCATTATGAAATCCTAAATGAATTTCCCAAGTGAAATAAGTGTTATGGGAATAGGGCCTACTGGAGGAAGAAGAAGCTGAGGCTGGGTTGGTTGTGAGGTTAAACTGAAGAAGCTGCTAACTTCAGTGTGGAGGAAAAAGCAAAGATTACAGAAGTATTTGAATTTTCTATCAGATCCACATGTTGGGACTTTCCTGCACCACAGTCTCTGGCCTTCCCTTGTAACTGGTAAGTAATTTTTTATGAATGACATAACATCAGACTGCACAAGGAAGCAGAAGAGCTGGATACAGTTAAACCAGAAAACAAGACTTGCCCCAGGTTTTAAGCTGCTGGGTTGTCGAGACCAGACTGGGAAGGGATCAGTCAAGATCCTGCAGGTGGCTTTTTGCAGATGCAGTGCATTGGCTTAAAAATGCCCAGCACTGTGTAACCTGGGGCCTGGAGAGATGAGCCCTTCTTCCCATCTCTGAAGGCTGCTGTGATGATTGATGGGCCTGAAGGCTCTCAGAACAGCTGGAGCCTGAGTCCAGCTGGAGCAGTAAAAATGCACAAACGCGTCACAGTGAGAAGGTCCCGAACACTCTGATGAGGTGTGAAAGCTCATGAGCACCTGGTGACATCCTTTCCCACAGTGACCTGCTGGTGACTGTACTGGGAATCATCTGCTCAGGTTTACCAAAAGGATCCCTGTTACCTGTAGCAGGGTTTGGATCAGACATTACTGCTCTTCCTGACCTTTCAGCAACACCAGGGAGCAGTTCTGGATGTGTGATAGGTCAGACGGAATAGACACCATTTACAATCTACCCTTTCTGGACAAGTCTGCTATATAGAGGGATATTTCTTCTCCTCAAGGGAAGAAATGTTTCAGAAACTTTATCTCCTACATCTTCAAGAACCACACAGGACCAGCTGCAGACTTCCTGGGATGCTAGGAAAGGCCAAGTGAAGAATTCAGCCTTCAGTGTATCCGGCATGACCTCCCAGCATCATGCAATGATTCATTGTGCTCCATTTCTGCAGCAGAAAGGTCACAGGGATTGGTGTAATTTATTATAAGCAGATTGCAAATCTTGTGGGTGCACAGAGAGTTTAAAAAAGGAAAAAGAATCAGTAGGAGAGGAAGTTGCAAGCCCTTTTGAGAAATTCAGCTCATCTTTAAATAGCCTAGACCTGTGAAACTAATGGATGGCCATTTTTAGGACTGCAGATAAAATACCTTTTACACTCTGCTGTATCTCAGTATAACAGATTGACATAGCCTCAGTGAAAGCTTCAGCAGTCAACCCCAGATATACTCTGCAAGTTTTCCCATGCTGTTTCCAGGACTGAGGATTTTGCATAGCCCTGCTGGCTGTGTGTGCCTCCCTAGTCATTTCTGTAGCTCCAGAAACTTCTTAGGGGCAGACGGTGCCGGATGGTGCCACCTGGTGCACACTCTCTGGGTTTGAGTCTGTCATTTCTAGCTTTGGAAAATACTGCCTTGGTTTATGTTTGCACTCAGTCTTTGTGTTGGCCTCTCTTTCTGTTAGCTCAGGTCTAACAGTGCTGAGGTTTGTATAGTCATCCCCTGAGGCAAGGAAGCTTCTCTGTGTAGCTGCTGTTTGGGATATTTGCAGAAGAACTAACTGAATTTTTCCTGATATCAGTGGCAGCTTTTCCACAGAACCATGGTTTAATTGGTTGTAACTCTTGTTTGATGTGTCTTTTTCTTTCCTTCGCCCCATCTTCCTTCACCAACATGGGCAGAGTGTCTCTATGTGTTTCCCTGTCAGTGGAATTACCGGCCTGATCATTGTATGTATGGAAGCAACTGCAAAGGTGCAGAAGAAGAAGGTGTCTCTATTCTACATGGAAATAGGGGTGTCTACCATGATGACAAACAACCTACGTTCAAGGCACTCTATGAAGTGATACGTGATGTAAGTCTTCTGTCTCGTCAGAGGCAGTCCTTTTATTTCAGTGTAATTATGGATTTAACGGGGTCACTCAGACTGCTCTTCCAGCAGATCAGGCTGAGCAAAGCTGTGCTGTATGTGTGCCCATCAGACACAAGACAACAGGGTTGCTTTGGCCTCCCCTGCTTCACTGCATGCATGTATTGGAGGTAGTTTAGATGATCTTCATATTATAGTAAAATTCTAATAAAAAAAGGCTGATAAATTGCTTTTCTGTAATAATGGAAGTAGGAAAAGGAATTGTTTAGATGGAGTTATTCCTGCTAGTTCTGCAGCTCTGGTCCATAAATACCCAAAGCAAGCTTGTCCTCCCTGGGCACCTAGAGCCGTGAGGCACACAGAAGACAAAAGCTTGCCTATAGACACAGGTCCATATTCCCACTCTGGATGTTGTATGAGTACACCTCTACTCTCTAAAAGCTGTGTCATTACAGTATCCCTGTGTTAGCAAATCTCCTTTCAATGCAGACTTCAGAAGTACAGCTTCTGGGCAGTCGGCTGTTTCAGGTAATACACCTTTTCTGAAAGCAGGTGCTCTCAAGCAGAGCAGTGTTTGAAGCTGACAGGCTTTGCTGACACTGTGGGAATGTGGGGGACACGTCACTGCCTACCTGCAGCAGATTCTGTTTTAAAGAAACTTCTAAAATGCCATTTTGTAACTGGTGAAAACTAATAATTCTTCTTTTCTTGTCTTTAGTTTCCATTTGAAGACAATCTCTTCCAGTCTCTGTACTACCCTCTGCAGTCCAAGTTTCTGGATACAGTGCACACGTTATGTGGGAGAATTCCACAAGTATTTTTGAAGCAAATTGAGAAAACTATGAAGAAGGTGTATGAGAATCGTGTCATTGTCTACTTGGGTGCCAACCACAGATACTAAATATAGCTATATATTCTTAAGCAGAGTTTTTCAGTCTTGCACCCCATCTCATGAAGCATAAAAATGAAGAGTATGAACTCCCTTTCTGAAACTCAGAATTAAAATAGTTCCCTTATCCAATTTCCTAATAAGCCCTGAAATTACAAAACCAGAGGAAATGCTAGGACCTAAACTGTCTTTTGTTCTCTTCCCATGTTTACTCTTGGTTGTAACAGGGAGAAGTGAAGATTCTCACTTTCATTTGATGAGTTTAGTTTGCTTGTCTAAGAACAGCTGTATTCACTGTAGCCTGTACAGATCTTAGGCTTGACAAACTATGGTTTGAACTATGTAACATCAGGAATATAACTCTGAAATGACAGGGCAAATATTCTTGACTCATGAGAGCACTGAATTACAGAGCAGATCACTTGTGTGATAGGATCAGTTAAAATTTACTGTAGTAAAGGGAAAGAATTTGCTTAAAATTGCACTTCTGTCTCGAGGTATATTACCTGCTGTTCTTCACATGTAGGACCTAAGATTTCTCTTACTTAAAAAGATTAGAGGAATAGAAGTGCCTCTTTGTACCTTACAGCACTTTTTGTCTAGTGATTCTCATTTTTTCCCTTCTGCTCTTCAGTAGTTTTGTGAGGGCATCTCATGAAGGAATTACAAGGAAATGAACTGCTGCATCAATAGGAAGACTCTGTACAAGAAATGTGAGGGGGATGCAGTGGAAGCTGTGGCACCTGCACAACTAGTGGAGAACAGCAACACAATCCTTTCTTGTGGTGTATGGTCACGGTCTTCCCCTCCAGTGTCTTACAGTTTTAAGAATGTATCTATAACTTGGTAATACTAATTGCATTAGACACAGTCCACGAATATTGTGAATGAAGAGAACAAAACCAGGTACTGTTGGTCTGGTTTCCTCTTTAATTAATCCTCTCTAATTGCTGTTTACTGCACAGTAACAGTAGTATGCAACTGACAACCAGGGATACTGCGACTGCTGCCTCTGAATCGCCTTTTCTGCTTCACCAGAAACTTGGGGTATAGACATAATTTCTGCCTGGTACTTTTGTTCATGAAGGTTGAGAGTTTTATGCTAGGATCATAATGAAGATCCACAAAGTGAAAGAGGACACAGGATGGCTTTAATACTTATTTAAAATACTTCATGTAGTTTAGGTTTCGCAAGTATGATGATCACCTGATGAGATTCACAGACAACAGCTTATTAAAACTAGCAGTAGCTGAAAGGTGCTTGGCACAAGCCACTGGGAAAGTGAGGATGCTCTTAAAGAGTGGTGATACAAGAGCAGACTCCCAGAGGGTGTTTGCTAAGTGTAAGCCCTGAGGGGTGTGTGTAGGTAAGGGCTTGAGGAAGATGGCATAGAAAATGTTCTTACTTATCAGGTCTGTTCAGCAGGTAAAATTAGCCATTGCTTGGAACTACTCACTTTAATAGGCAAAGTAGGAGAGGGGTGAGAAGGGTGAGATACATGGAGCTTTCTTGTACTGAAAGGCAAACTGGTAGAGATTGTATATCCTGTACATGTATCTTTATTAGCGATAACCATCCTGGGGGGTGTGAATGAGTTAAAAGGATATGTGTCCTAACTTAAAATGTAGGATTTCTGAAAAATTGCAGTTTTGGGGGTTTCTGCCCTGTCCAGTCAGGACTGATGCACAAATTCATAAGAAAAGACACTCCAAGAGAAAGCCCTTTTGGTTTGCACATTCCTCTCTCCCTGTGTGGCAGCTCCTGAGTGGAGGGAAAGGCAGGCCCTGCTGGCATCTCAGCTGCAGTGAACAGCCTGTACACAGGATGAAGTGCCAGCAAACACCAGAGTGTGAAAATGCCTGTGACACATCCGTAAGTGCTGGGTGAATGACACAAGGTGGCTAACAGCATCACAAGTGTCATCTGAGTAGAGGAGGTGTTAAGATAGAGGCTTGGAATAAGGGACTAATACTAATAATAATTATTATTAATGGAATAATAATATCTTGGTCCTAGCAGTCTCACTGCTGCTCTCTGCTAGTCCTCACAGGCAGGACAAACAGAAAATGTTTGCAGGCTGTGTGCTGCAAATTCTAATCAGTGATTTGTGTGGTTATGACTCTCATCCCTTCTCTTGCAGTTTGCCACTAATGTGTAAATTGACATGCAAAGGAAACTGGCAGCTCTGCATCTATTTTGATTGAAAGCAGAGCACCCAGGAAGACATTTAAAGGGTAGATGTTACTGCTTCTCCAACTTAGTATTGTCTGGTTTAACTGAAGTTTTAGTCGCCACTTAAAAAGAACAGAACACTTCTAGTTGCAGAGAGGAGTGTGAATATGTGACCCAAACGAACACTGACGACTTCAGAATCGGAAGGCAATGAAAGGAAAATTCAGCATGCTGTTTAAAAAAGTTTATCATCTAAGCCTAATGTAGGACAGGTAAACCTTTCAGGATAGCAATACTGAGAACTTGTAAAAAATACTTGCTTATATTAGCTTGCTTTTTGATCTTTGTTTTCAAGTATCAGGGTAAAGCTGACTGTGGGTCAGATGAGGCCAGATGAGGTGCATGCTGGGCACTCTGAATTCCTCATTTCTATGGTAGCTACAAGCCACGGAAAGTTGCATAGCAAAAGTCCTGTTGCCCAGACAGTTGTAACTCTGGTGCTAAGCCTCTGAAGTTTGGGAGGCTGGGATTGTGTAAGCTGTGATTCAGCAGAACCCAGCAACTACAGGCACATTAAAATGAAGGAATGGAATTCATTACAAAACAAAAGCATTTTTGCATTTAAAATTATGAGAGATAAAACCAGTGCTTTTTATGTTTACAGGAGGTGCTACATTATGTTTAGAAGGAATTGTGTTATATTCTCAACAGCTATTAAAATATATGAAGTATATGCTTTAATATGAAGACTTTTTTTTAATATAATATCAACTTGCAGGAAGAAAGGGGGAGGTTCCCCCCCTGCTGAGATGCTTCTGGGCTCCCCAAAGTGGCTTAAAACAGTTCTGTAACTTCAGTCTTGTTGCTGTTACAGTTATTAATACATGTTTTATTACTGCTTCCAAAAACCATGTTATATTTTGGTTTTAACAGTAGTTGTTTCTAATATTAATCTTATTTAGAAACCAGTTTTAATTCCTTTCCTATTTTATACTTGTGGCTAATTCCTTGTTAATTAGCCTTCATTTATTTTAATAATGGGATATGTAAATACGTATATAGACTTTATATCCTCACTCCCCCTTTCTCTCATGTATTTTAGTTATTTTCAATGACATAGTGTAATGAAACCACCTTTGCTAATGTAATACCCTCAGCAGTGTCAGGCTAACATAGGGGGTAAACAAAACCAGTTTTCTTTACACTCCAACACATGGAATGTATGGGTAACAAAGGGAAAGAATCCCCTTGCACACTGAGAAGGAAGCAGCAGGGTACAGCAGAGAACTGTGCCTGTTTCATCTGAACTTAAGCCCCAAACCAGCAAATGTCGGATACTCTGAATTTTGCCCGTGTATTCGGGGGCTTATGTACAGTGCATAACGCTAAGCATGTAACCAAGTCCTTGCTGTATCAGCGCCAGATATTCAGGGTTTAAAGTTGCTATATTATACTTGAACTTGCTGAAGACAGAAAAATAGGGGCTTTGTAGTAAGTGCTGCTGAGCACCTTCTTTTAGCTCAAAGCCATTTAAAAGGCATCAGGCTACCAGTGCGCGTTGTACCACAAAGAGCTGCCGGAGTGGGAAGCATTTGGTCGCATCATTTCTCTAATGTGAGAGTTTCTCCAGGCTTAGATAGCTCCACTGTCCTGTCACTTACAGGAGGAAACTGGAAACTGCTCTGTGTGTGTGTGTGTGTGTGTGTAAGTAACAGGAGCGTGTGTGTAAAGAATTCTGTACCTTTTCTCTGTCATTTAATTGCTCATGTATTTTTGTTTGACAAGTGCACCAGTTATTTATAGCTCCCAAGGAGGCCTAGCAGTGCATTTCTTTGTTAAGATCCTTTGGCTTACAGTACAAATAAATGAAGTTTTAAGCAAGCTCTGTATTTTGATAGTTTCCTTTTAAATGCAAGATTTTGTGTCTCTGTGTGTCAGGGGGTGATGAGTCTGGTTGGGATGGAGTTTTGTATTGGTGATGATAGTGTGTGTATACAAAGTATGTCTGCATTGAGCATACAATTTCACTGTAGCAAGAGACCATTATATTGGATATGTTACTGAAAGAGACAAATCCATACCTGTAACTTGCCTCAAAGTGCTAATGTGTCGTGCTACAACTCCAGTTCCGTTATGGTGGCCATAGATCAGAACCTGATCTCAAAGGAAACCAAAGTTTCACCTTTTTAACATTTTTCCATTACGGTTTGCCCCCTGGAGGACTTGGCCATTTAGCACCATTTCCCTTCCCTTCTTCTGGTATTAAATCTTAAGTTTTGATACTGTTGTATGGTCACTGCTGCAATCTCCTTGGTTGTGCCACAACATCTCTGTGTGACAGAAGCTCATGAGGTGTCTGTTCAGCCAAACCAGTTGCCAGCCTGGTGATGAAATTGATTCCTCACTTGCTCATTGTTTGGTATGTTGGGCTCAGCCATGCTTGCTTCAAAGTCAGGAATAAAACTCCCATTGATACAAGAAAAGGTAAAGGCAGCTGTAAAACAACAGTTCTCTGTCCAGTGCCGCTCTGTCCGTGCGTACTTGTGTGATGTTTTGGTTACATGCTCCATGATCAGTCTGGTCGGTGATGTCCTGATCCAAGGTTTTTCACTTGCAAGCATGGCTGCAGTCAGTTTTGCTGTGGGCACGAGGCACAGTTTTTGTGAGATAGGGGCTCTGCAGAAGTACCCCAGGCACAACAGCAAACAGGATGGGCACTTCCCTGCTGCTGCTGAGCTCTGATTTTCCCTGTCCCCACTTCTGGGTTTGTTACATCAGTCTAAGTCGCAGTGGCTGCAGCTCTCCTCTTGGAACAAACACTTAGGTTCACCGAGGCAATGCCTTGGAGCTCAGTTACCCACAGCTGAGGGACATGGATACTGGAATCATTTCCTTCTTCTGTGCCCTCACTACTGCACACACATCGGTGGCCATGGTTTGGACTCCAGAATACATCATGGAGCATTGACTCAAAACAAAGCTCGGCTGTCATTTTACATTCATCCCATAACTAGGTTCCTAGTAGAGGTAACTTCTCTGCGCGTTCTGTGACATTCAGAGCTGCGAATAAAGTACAACTAACTTAAGAAAAATGGGAGACTTTTAATACTGTGATAAATCTTGACACGTTACCAGCTTCAGCACAAACTGTCAATCATTTGATTTCAAATAATTTCCTTCCCACTGCTTCAAGAAGAGATTCCTCTCCCAAGAATGTAACCATAAAGAAGCCAATTGTCAGAGAATGTTCTGCTCCTCTCCTTTAGATACAAACATGATGCCATTAAGGGGACACCACCTACCCCCTCAGAGGTGGTATGGCACAGTTCCATGGGCTGTCCCCAGCAGAGGCTTGACTGTTCTCCCACTGTGCTTATGAGGGCAGTGCACATCTACACTGGGATCCATGCAGAGCACAGGCTTCCACTGGCATGAGATAAGGAATTGCTGTTTGTGCTTCAAAAGAAATAGCAATGTTTGGAAATGTTGCTTTCATCTCTGCTCAGACTAAAAACCAAACTGTCAACACTTCCTTTGAAATGAAAATGAAAATTGAGACAAAACACCAAGATGAGAATGGCCATTTAAGATTAACAAAGCACTTGGTTGTATTTGCTTTTGAAGTAAGATGTTTTGTTTTGATTTCTACATTTCTATAACTAAATGATAATTGCTTTTATTTGAAAATACAGTATAGTCCAACAATGTGTAATGGTGTCTTAGAACTAACCCATGTTGGTCGTACTGAAATAATGATGCTGAAATGACACAGCCCTTTTTCTAAAGAATAAAGTGGCATCAGTTGACCTCTTCTTGCAGAAATGTCATTCCCAAACCTTTCTGGAAGTGGTTAATTCCCTGCTGTGGTGGTTAGACCAGTGCAAGGCAGGTGCCCTTGCAGAGTACACACCTTTAAACAAAGCTCTACCACCTCTTCACTCAGAGCTGTTAGAGGGCAGCTTGTTTTGAATATTGGCTTCCTCACACCTGGGGCTCCAGCAGGGAAAACTAAGTCTGGTTTTAATCTGAATGATCCTGCAGTTTGTCAAGCAGTTGACATGAAGCTTTCTGTCTTGCAGATGCACGGGAGGAAGGTGTGAGAAAACAGCTTGGGAAGGAAACTGCAAACCTGGTTTGCTATGGGCTCAGATTGATGCAAGAAAACATGTGGGGACTTGACTTGAGCTGGACTCGTGTTGTACATGTGACCTGGGCCTGCTCTCTTTGAAAAGTCTCAAAGTGTCTTTCAGAGCCTTGAAAACAAATATAAAATGTAAACCTGAGTAAGGCTTTGTGTAAGGTCAGTGCAAGAATTAAAACTCACTCTGGATTGTCAGACAGTTTCTCCTCATTCTTTAGTTAAATGTTCAAACCCACCACATCTCCTCTCCAAAAAAGGTGATTGTTTTCACTGTTGATTCTCAGTAAATACTCTACCAGCGGCATTAGGAACTGACACCAAATGAAATCATACTCTCTGTGCATGTTATTACAAGGTGTGCCAAATACCTCACAAAAAAGTAATTATCATTCCTGTTTCATTAATGAAGAAACACAGGATGACTGCCTAACCCATTGCTGGAGATCACACATCAATGAAGATGCCTATGAGCTTTTTTGTATTCTAGGGTTGTATTTAAATGTTTCTCCTTTGAAAGTGGAAGGAAAAGATCATTTGCTGTGAACTGAAATATGATTCAGTTAGTTAAGGGGATGTGAGTTTCAAAATATGCAAACCTCCCCCAAGCTGAGCTCTATCCTGAAATGCATGTGAAATAATCCTTGTTACCACAAAAATACACAAGTCATTCATGCACTTTCTTTGCTTTATTTCCATAGAAATAATTATGGGGTTTATTTTGTTCCTGCTCCAGAGGATGTGGTTCTTGTTTCCTCAGAAACAGGTAGACATTATTTGTGTATCTCTAAACATTTTCCCTGAAACAAAAACTAAACGAAAGACAACAACACACCCAAACAGTGTTTTCATTAAATCTACCTCTGTCATTGAATTCCCAGGACCTCTTCATGTTCAGTGTTTGTCTCGCCCCTCCCCCCTCCCAAATTAATGCAATTTAAAATGTCTTTCCTATAGAAAACAAAAAGCTTTCAGAGGTCTGTTATTTGGTCTTTTTTCCTCTAATAGGAAGAGGAAGAGAGAGAGGGGGCTCGAAAATGGAAGGTGCTCTTACTGCTCCTCATGTGCTAGTAGGGCAGGAGAACAGAAGAACAGAATGTGGCTTTAGTGTGTATTTTTTTAAGTTGGGAAATGACATTTTTAATAATGAAAGGTTCCTGTCTCCCTGAAATACTTTTTCAGTGCAAACAGAGAGTGGCTGGTAGATGCATGTGCACATTCTTTATCAGTGACCAGTATAAAAAAGAAGACATCAAAAAAAGAGAAGGAAATACGAGTTTCTGGTGTGTCAGTGCCCACATGGATGTGAAGGCACATCAAACTAAAACTGATCAGAAGCATTGCTTTCCGCAGTCTGCTACTACATGCAAAACAGTCATATTATTGTCCTTTGGTTTTAATGATTGTCAGTGCTTTGTCATTTGAATTAAAAGGTATTTGTAACCAGCACATTAACATTTTGTCCCTCCCAGAAGTTTTGCCTTTGGCTGGCTAATAAGGAAGCCAGCATGAGCCCACGGCAGGCAAGGCTTGAATTAAGCTTATGGCTGAGTGGTAGATGTAACCCAGTTGTTTCTTATGCATCACTCATGTACCTGTGTGAACTATAAAATGCTGTCATCTTTTAGATGTAGAAAAGATTTGCCACCTGGTCTGACTAGATGGGAAGAATTAGAAAAGCTTCTCAGCAATGAAAAGTCAATGTTAACATACAGTTGGTTCACTTCTTGTGGGTTCTGCCAAAATATGAAAAAAGATCTTCCTTCAGCCCCAATGTAGCACAGTGATAATTTATTTGATGTATGACAGCTGTGTGATAAATGCTACTCTTCAGAAAATAAAAGTTCACTTTTAATAAGAAATAAAAGGGTTGGAATGAAACCAGAGGCATTTTGTACCAGGTGAATCCTGTAGAAACTGCCCTGCTAGCTGATATCTCACGTTTAGAGACCAGCCGTGTCCTCCAGTGGCTTTACCCACCCTTGGAGCAGGGTCTGTGTGACTGAGCAGTGCCAGAGAAATGTGGAACTTGTCAATAGCAAAGGTGCAGAAAGTCAGAGGGCTGCAAGCACACACACTGCACTATGCAGCATTAGCATCAAACCTCACCTGCAACTTGCTGAGTGCAAAGAAGTGGCTCTAAAGCACTTAATGAATCGGTTGAGCTTCTTTTATGAGATTACAAACTGTGGCTTTAGTTTTCTATTTCTCCATATAATGTAGCACAAGAATTTAGAGAGTGTTATTTCTTATTTCTTTCTCCTTTAACTTGCCTTTTTAGTGAAAAAATGCTTTGTTGTCCCAGTTTTCAGTTGTAACTCCAGGTATCGTATAAACAACTGCATTTGTTTTTTCTGTTTTAAAGGAACAGGCTAACAATACAACTTTTCAAATTGGGAAGTATGAGCTTTCTTTAGTTGGTGTTAGTGACACCTGTAAATGGAATGGGATATTGTTAAGGATGATTGAATTTGCTGTCCTAGGGTTTTTAGTGTGGGATGTGTAAGTGTAGTGGACATGAATATGCATGTTTCTGCCTCTCTAAGCTTGTTTTGGCTGGTGGGCTTCTTTAAGACCAGTCATGCTGGGAAATGCACTTCCTCAGGAGGAACTGAAAATTAAGAACATGTGATCAGCTCTGAGAATTATTATAAAGAGCAAGCTGGGTTGGGATATCCCCTTGCTGCCAGGGAAATGGGATCAGCTGGGCTGTAGAAGTCATAGAAGAGAAGCTCTGCTCCTCTGTTTTACTGAGGGTTGCAAAGGTAAGCTAGTATTTTTGTTACTTCAAATGGACTTTGATACCTCTTTTAAAACAATGAAGTGGACTTCAAGGAAAAAGGTGTAGACTAACCTGGTAGTCTGAATTGCACTGCCCTTTTCAATTGCTGGTTTATCTGCATACAGGCTTCAGTGCTTCTGTTTTCAGCCCAGTATACACTGCCTGTTTTGAAAGCCTGTCCCGTCCTCTTCCATCTCTTCTCACAACACAGCTTTTTTTCTATGTTAAAGAGATTTTTCACTTGCTCTCCATGCAGAGTGTTACTGTCTCATTATAAAAGCAGAGTAGTGTAGTTTCAGTTAAGAGAAATGTCTGTTACTGTAAAGGTACACAGCAGCTAAATTCAGCAGGGTTTTAATGCCATCTCATGCACAAGAGTTTGCTGGGTTTTGTTTTGTTCCTTCCTTACAGGTTTGGGCAAGTTGTACCTTTGCCTCTCTCCCATAATGTCAGTTTGTTAACTCATGCTGATGCTTTTCCCTCTTGTTGACCCACAGAGAGGCTGGAGGAGGTTCATTAGCTCCTCTCTGCCTGACCACAGCCCTCCCAGAGAACACAGAAATTTCCTTCTAAAATCTGCTTATTGTAACAAAGGTTTCCATAATAGTATGAAACAAACATTTTGTATGGGCATCTGTAGGTATGAAACCTTAAATATCCCTAATAGGATCTTGTAGGCCTCAAACTGTCAGAGACTGGAAAGAGTCTTCATTTTTATAAGACACACATTTTCTTAAATACAAATTCTTCCCTGTGAGGGTGCTGAGGCGCTGGCACAGGGTGCCCAGAGAAGCTGTGGCTGCCCCATCCCTGGCAGTGCTCAAGGCCAGGTTGGATGGGGCTTGGAGCAAGCTGCTCTGGTGGAAGGTGCCCTGCCCATGGCAGGGGGTTGGAACTGGTAAGGTGTCTTCCAGCCTAAACCATTCTATGATTCTATGGAAAGTCAGTGTTTCTATGTGATGCAGTTGACAGTGAAGACCATTACTTGCACAACTTCTAGATTATCTCCTGCATGATAAAATCAACACCAGGGGTCAAAGAAAGCAGCTCGCAGCACAGGACTGCTTGCTATGGGTGCCAAGTCAGTCTCTTAGCTATTTGGGATGGTCCACAAACTGTGTCACTGACATTAGGCAGCATTTCTAAGAAACATAGCCATGTTGGAGGTACTCTGTTGTCAAGGTGGCACTTAGAGAGTGTAGTACAGCTGCTGATACCAGTATCTCTTTGTTCGCTCCCCTGCAGTGGTAGGGCTGAGCCAGTTTCTGTTGTGCACAGTTGACCACTCTTGCCTTCCATCAGCCCTGTGCTCTGCCAGGCCAGCCCCAGCCCTGAGCGCAGCGGGATGTGCCCGCAGGGGAGCACGGACACCTCTGGGCACAGGCCTCGGGAGGAGACCGGGACACGATCCAGGGCTGTATCGGCATTTTACCTAATAGTGAAGCACCGCAGATGTGCCAGCTCACATATGCCTGGAGTAACAGTTGGCACCGATATCTGGCTACGTTATTTACAACTTCGTTTTGTGTGTTAAATCAGCATTTCCATCTCCTTCCAGGAACAGCCACCGCATGTCCCTCAAGCCCTACTGGAGCGTGTGGGGTGGACAAGATACATGTGCTCGGCCGGCTTCTGCTTACTCGCTTTGTGCCGGGCTCCCCGCATCCCGCTGAGGTGGTGACAAGAAGAGGCTGCTTGGACTTCACCTCCTCTTCGCCAGGAGGGCACAGGGTGGTAGAAGGGCTCATCCCCTGAACATAGGTACGGAGCGCAGCTGGGGGGCTTGAAGAGCGAGAGCTAGGAAAAGTGAAGAAGGGGAAAAAGAAGCTCGTTCTTGACAGTAAAAGGGAATCAGGCGTTATCTGCGCGCTGGATTTGAGGGTGGGGTAGAGCCGCCGCCTCAGCCTGAGGCGGGAGGAGGAGGAGGAAGGCGCGGGATCTTCCTGAGGGGCCGCCGCCCGCCCGACAGGCGGGACCGCTTTGCCGCCCCCTTCATCCAGGACCCGCGAGGCTGGGCCGGCGTAAGGAGGTCGGGAGCCACCAGGCCGAGGAGGGGAAGGAGGGACGAGGGGCGGAGAACGCGGGAGCGGCATCTGGCGCCCGCCCAACGGAGCCGCCCTCGGCTCCTCACGCCCGGTTCCTCCCTCGGAGCCGCCCCGCGGCCCCGCCCCCCCGCGCGCCCCCGCCCCCCCGGCGAGAGGGAGGGAGGGCTGTCGGGGCCGCGCACGGGGACGGCCCGGGCGCCATGTTGGAGCGTTGCTGAGCCCGGGGTCTCTGTGTGCGCGGCGGCTGCAGCCCGGTTCTTGCGCGGGGCGGGGGGGGGGGGCTGGAGGAGGGGAGCAGCGCGCAGCGGGGGGGAGACACCCAGGCGGATCATGGACATCGAGAGGCTGCAGGAGGCTCTGAAAGGTGGTGCCGGGGTTTGCGGGGGGTGGGGGGAGCCGTGTCCCCACGCTGAGGGAGGCAGGGGCTGCTCGCTGCCCCGACCCTCCTGTGGGCAGGGAGCCGCAGCTCCCCTCCACCGGCGGACGAGGGTCGGGGTGCCCTTGCTGTGGGGAAGGGGCTGCTCGCGTAGGAGGGAACCGGGTCCCGCAGAGCGGGGAGAGGCCTGGGGGGCTCCCGGTGGGGCAGGGGAGCGGTGAACCCCTGTTCCGCGCTGCCCTGGTGCTCTCTTCGGGGTCGCTCTGGACTGCGTGAGGGGCAGCAGCGCAGGGAGGTTGGTGACCCCAGCGGCTCTCCCCCTCCTGCAGGCCCGGGGCTCCTCTCGGCTGCTGCCCTCTTGGCCCCCGCAAGCCTGCCTGCCTGCCTTCCGTCCCCGGCCCTCGCCCCGACCTGCTCTTCTCCTGCCTCCCCAGCCCGCCTCTGTGCTAGCTTGCCTTATTGGATGCAGCCTGAGGACACCAGCCTCTTTCTCTGTTGTAGCTGCTCAGAAGAAGTTGCAAATCAACTTTTGCTAGTCAGACGCATGTTTCTCCACATGACAATATTAAGTGTTTTACAAGGCTGGGGATCTGGTGGAGCTCTTGGAAACAGCTGAAGTATTGTGAAAGCATGGAAATAATTTCGTGGGAACTGTACTGATCGCTTAGATAACTATTTTTAATTTCTGTTCTATTTTCTTTTACCATTCTTTTGTGTCATTCTCATACCAACAGATTTTGAGAAGAGAGGGAAGAAGGAAGTGTGTCCAGTACTGGATCAGTTTCTTTGTCATGTTGCTAAGACTGGAGAGACAATGTAAGTGTGACTCTTGGCAATCTTCAGTTGTACCTTAGAAGACTTCTGCATTCTAAGTCAATGGGATGCTACCTGGGTTCTCTTTTTGCCTGTATATGGCTTCCCTGAGCTGAACAAGCTTGCCTTAGTTCCCATTTAATTTTGGACGGAGTAGTTTTGTTTGCTAGTAGCTATATCTGACAGGGCTTGCAAAGCTTTGTTCAGGGGGCTCTCTCAGGTCTTCTTGTCTGTCTCAGTACAAGAAGCCTGTTGCGCTTTGTACATTTTATGTGACATCTGGGGGTTTTTAAGTGGAAAGTTTAGCTCACTGTGGTAGTGTCTGTTGTATACTGTTGCGGTACCTGTTGTATACAGTATCTAATAGCATTATTTACATAAAGATACGAATGCCTTAGATTATTTCTTTCCAGGCTTTGTACACCACGCTGTGTGGTGATTGCATCTAAGTGCTTCTGATGAGGAGGGGACAGCCAGTAGGTGCGTTCTGCAGAGGAGATCTGTGGGAACTTCTCTGTGTTTGCGTAGTCTTCCGTTTTCCAGCTCGCAGGGGTTTCGCTTTTCCCGGGCTTCCTTTCGCAGCTCACGCTGGCGGGTTCCCGTCCGGAGGTGCGCGGTGGCTGGAAGCAGCCGTGCTCCTTGTCAGGGATGAGCGGTGGTGCTGCGCTGGGTGACTTCCTTGGTGGATCACTATTTGGCAGGAAGGGGAAAGGCTTGCCTGGGTGCGTTGCTATAGAGTTGCTCACTTTCTGGCTCCCAGGCTGTCTCCTTGTTTTCGAGGCCTAGTGCCAGACTACAGGCTTCTGCAGGAGATATGTGCTTTTACCAGTGTTTTGTTAGCAACCAGTGACTGCAGGGGCTTTGTTTGGGTTTTTGGAATCCCTCTGACTTGTGAGAGGTTTGTAGCTGTGGTTTTTCTTTTTATTAATCTTTCTGCAGCTTGGTGGTAGTGCTTGAATTAATGGTTTTGAAAGAAAAACAAGTTCTGAAATGTACTTTGCTCTTTGAAGAGAAGGCATTGGCTCAGCAGAAACACATAGTGTTTAATATTTTGATGTACTTATTTTAGAATGGGCCCACTACAATGCATTTTTGCTGTATAATATGTTTAAAGTATTTTCCTTGTTCTAGAATATTTCTTCAGGCTATTTATATTGTTCTTGCCACTATTACATGTGTTTCAAAGTAATGTAAAAAAGTGATTGTATAGGGGCAGGTTCTTGGGAAGATGAGAAACTTGGAGAATGAACAGACTCCTGACTTTTTTTTCCATTTGGGAAATCTAGATTATTATCATCATTTATTGGTTATTACAAACTAATGCTTAAACCTAAACTGGCAGCTCTTACATGGAACCTCATGCAGACCCTGGTTGCCTACATTGCCATGGTTTTCTTTGGCTTTTTTTTCCCCCCAAGTCTGTGACTTGGAAAGAACGCTCTTCTTCAGTGTTCTTGAACCTTTCTATTGTATTACATAGTTTAAGAACTGATTGCTTTGGAATGAGAAGATGAAATCTCAAATAATACCTTGTAGAGACTTTTCTTAGGTTTTTTTATGAAGTTCACAGCTCAGTTTCTCAAAATTATGCTGAAGTCGGGGGTTGTGCAAACACAGATGGTTTGCAGACTTATTTATTGGAAAACAATGGATCATACTCAGTCACAGCCTGTTCCTAAAGTAACAAACAAAAAGTACCCATTTGAGGACTAAGGCAAATAAGGCCAAGTGGGATGTGAAGTATTTTTTGCTTTGAGTTGTTGCTGTTTCTAGCAGTTATGCAGTGTTTTTCAGCTTTTGAACTTAGTTAATGACAAATGCTGATTTTTGTTTGTTTATTTTGAAGATGATCTACTACAGTTCATGTGTTAAATGTAGATTGTTCTCCCTCCTCCTCCTCATTTCTTCTGCACATAGTTGCAGCAGGTCTTGTAAGCAATTAGTAAACTTAGTTTGAAATGGTGTAATGGAGTAAATTGACTTTTAAGGTTCTCATCTAAGCATGACCATGGCATTCTTAAGTTGCTTAACAGATTGAAAGCAGAGGCTCATCTGAGGCTGTTGGGTACCTCCCTGCCCCCATTTCTTTCAGTGTGCTTATTCATCCGAGTGAGTTATGAACAGGTAGATGCAGGTTTAGGTTAGGCTGTAATTTTACTAGTATTTATTTCTCTTGGCAGCAGTCTTGGCTAATGCAGCTTTTGTGTAACTATTTCACTGGGGCTTGTTGAACTGTTTATGTAGCTGTTCGGTAACCAAGTGTAGGGAGCTGCTCACAGTTGAAACTAACTTTCTCTTTGGCAGTGCTTGTTTTTAACAAGGTTCAGTTCATTGATCCAGCTTGATTTGTCCCTGTAAGCTGGTATGTCAAAGCCCAGTGTAGCTGCAGAGGTGGTGTAGGGGAGGAACAAAGGGTTAGAGTTGTATGAGCCAGCCCTGTGACTATGATAAGGCTCTTCAGAGTGTGTCTTTATTGTAATTAGAAGTCTTCTTCATTTACAAGGAAGGTCTGGAATAAAAATGTTGCTAAATTTGGTTATATTATGAGCATAAATGTAATCGTGTTATCAGTACATTGCAGTAAGAGCCTGATCATGCAATCACATGTGTTAACTTCGTCTATTTGAAGTTTAAACTATCTTGTAAAAAGTTAACCATTCACTTAATGGTTTGCAAGATTATCGCTGTGTTTGCAAGAGCCAGTCTAAACTTCCCTTATTATCGGTGAACAGAAGCACAAGTTTGATTGATTGGCTACTTCCAAGTGTTTTTGTTTCTGGACAGTTGCTATGGTAAGACTTAGCCTTAGGTGAAATACAGAGTTTATGGTTCAACCTCTTTTAATGTTGTGTTGAGTCTTACGACTTTCACAAGTGATGTACTACTTAAGTGACTTGATGTTTTACTAAGAAGCTAACATGGAATTTCATTAGTGAGACCAGGTGTAGTTAGGGAAAATTGTTATCATCTCCTTTTCTCTAGTTTGTGAAAGATCGGTGTGACCTTGTAAAGTGGAGAGATATAAAAATTGTTAGTCTTATTACTTCACAGGGGCTGAAAGACCTTTTTAAAATAGGGTATGTTTTTGTCTTTTTTTTGCATAAGAAATCCACTTACCTATTTTTTTCTGAAGTAGAAGTGGCTTTAAGAGACAGTACAGAAGTCATAACACTGCAGCACTAGAGGTGAAATGCAAAAGAATTACAGGATATGAGTATCACTTATCAATTGTGATCTTGTATTTAAAATCTATTTTCTCTTATCTGTTAGGAAATTCTGTTGGATTTAAAATCACTCTGCCCTTTCAATAGCAAAAATGTTTCTAAACCAGTTATTTAGGTACTGCACCAAGAAAATACAATTTATTGGACTAGAAGGTAAAATGATAATTTTTCTTTGGTTCTAAAGCTGAAAATAAAACTTTGTGTGTGTTAGAAGTAAAAAAAAAACGTATGTCAATTTTTTCTGTGCTTCCCTCACTCCTGCCCTGGGGCTGGCTATCTATAAAGCACAGTTTTGATGGTGTACTATAGTGGCAAGTGTAATATAGATGCTTACTGACAATGAAGGAGTCGAGAAATAAGTAGTGGAGTACAAAAATCTGGACAAATACAGTTTATAGGCGGAAGTGATTAGCTGTAAAATAGTTCTAGGTTTAAGTAGGAAACAGTGCCCTGGCCAGGATGTAATGTAGTTCTACCAGTTCTTGCCCTGAATGCAGTATAAACAGCCATTAAAATACATTTTGTTTTTATTTCTTTTAGTAGTCGGATTCTTTCCTCAGAGTTTCCCTGGAAGATTTGAAATACTAATTTGTGCCTAATCTAAGCCTGAAGACAGAAGTTGTCTTTTTGCTGCCTTCCTTGAGGACCAACTTAAATGCTTTTCTGTGTAGTTTCTTGAGTCAAGTTTAATACATGTCATTATAAAGCAAGTGTAATACCTATAGCATCATCATGTCTCTGAGCAACATTGTCTGTAACTGGTAGCAGTTACAACCACAAAGGCTGCTGTGTTGGACGAATGGTCCACTGAGTCTGCAGCTACTCAGCTTAGCTACAGAGATGCTATGGGAGGTGGTGCTGTATGTCTTCCTTCAGTTAAGTGCCCACAGGCCTGTCAGGTAGATCAGGGACAGTTGTTGGTAAATTATATAGTTGTAAATGTGAGTTATGTAACTTAACGTAACCAAAGATAATGTCAAGAAGTACTTTTAACCCTTTGGTACTGTTTCATGTACCCTATGTACCAATGAACTTTTTTTTTAACTGAATTTTTTTTAACATTTGTTTGGATTAACTTAGCTTTTATATTATTTTGTTACAGCAATGAAATAATTTGTCAGCTGGAGGAAAGATGTGAGGAGAGATATCTTAGCAATGAACAAGAATGAGGATATGTTCCTGTTCTTGGCTTTAGTGTTTTAATGGTATATTCTTGTCTCCTGTATAGTAGTTTCCTTATGTCACAAATAGGCAGTAGTTTTGTTGCTTGCCATGTATGCTAGTATTTTTTTGACTAGTTTGAAAACTTTGTTCTGATTTGGAGGCACATCATTCTTTGGAGTTCTGCAGAACTATTGGGGGAATTAATTCCATAGGATTTTTTAAAAAGCCTCTAAATCCTCAAGTTGCTGCAAGAAGCAGGATAATACTTGATGAAGCAGTCTGTGCCCTTGTTAGTGTAGGCCTCTTCCACTTCCATGTTCTAAGTGAAGCAAGAGATGTGAGTAAACTTCCTTGCATTGTTTCCTGCTATTATTCCTCACTAACTGCATTTACTAAGCAGCTGGAATTATTCCCCACTAATTCCCATTCCACTGACACTGTGTTTTCTGTCTCATAATCCTCTGATGTCTCCAGAGGACAGGAGACATTTGAAAAGCCTACTGATACTGATGTATTGTCAAAGATGGTTTAGCTTCCTTGCTCTTTTTACTGATATTACAAAAAAAAAAAAAAGAAAGATCAAATGTACAGTTGTAGTACTCAAGGAGAGTTAGT